TATGGTGTTTGATAAGCCAGATTCCTTAAAACACCTTAGCAGTCATATGACATGCAAAACCACGTTACTGTTATGTTTGCACCAGATGATACTAAAACCGGTGTCATTTATGAGCAAATTTCTCAGTGAAGTGTTTTATGAGATTAATGGACACTGGATGAACACTAACACGTCTGTGATCCATGATTGACAAAATTATGTCTGCTTTTCTGTAAAACAGGTCACCGTCTGTGGAGTTCTGACTTGTCCCATCAAGGCCTGACAGAAACCAGCAAATGTATAGCATGATATCTCACATCTATAGATAATCTGGCGCTCCACAAAAAGATGTAACACGATTTAAGACATAACAACAAAAGTAGGACAAAGATTGAGTGGTGATTCACCTTCCAGAAAATGCAAAAACACCTAAACAATGATGGTCTACTTCACCTTAGTGCTTACGCTCACCTTTCAACAAAAGCACTTTTCTCTGAGTCACAACACAGAAGAAGAAGATTTGGTGGGTAAATACAATATGACACATGACAGAATGAGCTATCAGGTGTATTTGTGGGAGTATTTCCAGTGGGATGACAGTATTTGTCATGAACTAAGATGATAGGCTATTAAGGTGAGGACAGTTATTTCCGGAGAGGTATCTCTGAGAGACACTAACACAGGACTTTTGTATCACATGTCTGCAAGGGTCTTTTTTACGGGAAGTCACCTCATATCAACCTACTGTAAGTTCCAGTAAAGAAACAAAGGCTTGTGACTCAAGCTATAGGTCTTTTTTCTTTTCTTTTTTACTGTCGTTACAGAGATAAGTATCTAGTGTCATAGATAAAGTGATATGTAGCAGAACTAGACACATTCACGAATTAAATTGTGGCTAGTATTTTTATTTATAGAATATCAGAGACTATCTCCACTTATAGCAACCCTCTATTTCTGATGCAGAAACATGATGTACTAGCTATTTGTAAACAGCCTGTTAATGCATAGCAGCCATTCCTATTATGATATATGATCAGAAGATATAAAATCACGCACACACACACACACACACACACACAGTCTGTGGGGACTCTCCATAGGCGTAATGGTTTTTCTACTGTACAGACCGTATATTCTATTGCCCTACACCAACCCTACCCCTAAACCTACCCCTCACAGGAGACTTTCTGCATTTTTAGATTTTCAAAAAACTTAATTCTGTATGATTTATAAGCTTTTGTACCCGTGGGGACCACAATTTAGGTCCCCACCGTGACACGAGTCCCCATGAGTCTGTGTGTAGTCAGGTTTAAGTCCCCACCAGGATATATAAACCAGTGTTTTTATGGTTTATGGGGACTCTCCATAGGCGTAATGGTTTTTATACTGTACAGACAGTATATTCTATTGCCCTACACCAAACCTACCCCTAAACCTACCCCTCACAGGAAACTTTCTGCATTTTTAGATTTTCAAAAAAACTCATTCTGAATTATTTATAAGCCTTTTGAATTACGGGGACACTGAAAATGTCCTCATAAATCACCTTCTCGTTGTAATACCTATGTCATACCCATGTTATTATACAAATTTGTGTCCTCATAAACCACATAAACATGCACACACACACACACACACACACACACACACACACACACACACACACACACACACATATATATATATATATATTCTTATTACTTTTATGCATTTATGGATTTTTATATGTATGTTTTTGCTAGGAAAATAATTTC